TGATTACGACCTGCCTGATCCCTGTCTGTTTAGTCTGCCAGTCTCTGTGCTCTGCCTGCCTGCCCGTGCCCCGACCCCGCCTGCCAGCCTCCAAGTTCCTGTCTGCCCCTCTGGACTGCTCCCCTGGCTTCGACCCTCGTTCTGTCCTGGACCACGAGTTGGATTTTCCCTTGGCTTTGTCGCTGGACTCTGATCGCCCGTTACCAAACCCGGACTGCCCTGACCACGCCCACCCGATATTCCTGGTTCTCAATAAACTCTGTTAAACTGACCGTGCTGACTCAGGGTGTTTTTGGGTCCAAAAACAGTTCGTCACAAAAACATGTGGGAAATTATTGAGTTATAGCTCTGCACTCACCAGCCCAATGAGAAGCCACACTGGCGTGAAACTATGCAGATTGGAAACCTTTTTCTTTTTCTTGTGCATGTTGGAAGAGTTTCCTTCATCTTACCTTCATTTTTTATAATCTAAGTTAACTTAACATTTCAGTGTATACTAAATATTGCCCTTATTTATTTTCTTTTGATTCAATTAAACTAAAAAACAAACAGAAAGACAAATAAGTTCTTGGTTCCTTTGAGGTTTTATTTTTTCTAAAATCATAAATTGAAACAATTTGTTTTCAAATTAAACATAAAGAGGGATTACATAGATTCTGACCCTGGAAACAACTTCTTCTTTCATTTATAACAACAAAAACTGTAAACAGAATCATTTCCATATTTCCAAAGTGATGAGATGTAAAATATCCTGTGATCAAAGAAGCTCTGCTGGTTTCTCTGTGAAGGGAAATAAAAACAACAAAATACAAATACATCAAAAAACAGTCAAAGCTCAAAGAAGTTCAGACTTTCTGTGAATGAAACTCCTGGTTAGCAGTGATTTCCTCCACGGCTGCACAAACACAGGAAGAAGCAGAAAAATAGAAACAACAGAGACGTCACAGCAGTGAACTCTGAGCAACAAGCTGAGAGGAGAGTTCATCTGAGCTCACACAACTCTGCTGAGGATCTAAGACCCACACCGATTCCAGCATAGAGAGGCTGAGTGAAGGTGGTCTGGACTCTGTGGAGGAGAGTCCTGGTTTCAGAGACGCTGTAGAAGGACAGAATACCTGCTCTGTGATCCAGGTACACTCCTACTCTGGAGGAAGGAGGAGCTGACAGGGAGGTTTCTATGTTGTTAAACCAAAATGTAAAACCTTCTTCATCACAATCTAATGACCAAGATTTGTCAGTAAATCCAAATACACATTCATTCCCCCTTCCTGCTCTGCTGATATTCTTGTATGCGACTGCTACATAAACTCCCCCTAACTCCCCCCCCCCTCTCCACTCCACCTCCCAGTAACAACGTCCAGTCAGACTCTCTCTGCTCAGGACCTGACAATAGAAAGTGAATCTGTCTGGATGATCAGGATAAGACTGAGGTTCATCCATCCCGGTCACCTTCCTGTTCCCCTCTGACAGTAACAGGTGTCCGTGTGCTGTGTTTGGATCCAGTGTGATGTCACGTGAACATCTTAAGAAGTCGGCTCTGCTCTCTGGTTCTGGTGGCAGTAAAACATCCGGCTGAGCGGCTGCCAGTGAGACTTTAGTCCAGTCCTGTGTCAGGATGTGCTGCAGTTGGTCTGTGAGCTCTGACACAGCTGCTGTCACATCCTCAAAGTATCTCAGAGGACGCTCCCTGATGCTGGAGGAGTGTGTGGGCTCCCTGAGTGCTGGCAGTGAGGGGCAGCTGGTCAGAAACTGGATGTGGTCCTCTGTGTGTGAGAGCTGCTGCAGCTCAGCGTCTTTCCTCTGCAGCTCAGTGATCTCCTGCTCCAGCTTCTGCTGAAGCTCTTTGACTCCCCTCACTGCAGTTTGCTGCTGGGATCTGACCTGCTGCTCCACATCAGAGCGTCTGTTCTGGATGAGACGGATCAGCTCAGTGAACATCTTCTCACTGTCCTCCACTGTTTTGTCAGCAGACTGATCGATGGCCTCCACTTCCTGCTGGAGCAGCTCCACATCTTTCTGTGTGTCCTGGATCCTTTGCTGGATTTGTTGCCGCCTCCCCTCCAGCTCTCTCTGCCTCTCAGTCCTTTCTGCTGCCGCTGACACTGTGTGGTGGCCTTTATGCTCATCCATCGCACAGACAAGACAGATGGACTTCTGATCAGTGCGGCAGAACAGCTTCTTCACCTCATCGTGGACAGAGCAGATGTTCTCCTGGAGCTTCTTGGAGGGCTCCACCAGCTTGTGTTTCTTTAGTGGAGGTGACTCATAATGAGGCTGAAGGTGCTCCTCACAGTAAGAGGCCACACAGACCAAACAGGACTTGCTGGCTCTCAGTTTTCTCCCAGAGCAGACATCACAGGCCACATCTTCAGGTCCAGCATAGCAGTGATCAGCAGGAGCATCTTTGAGTCCAGTCTTCTTCAGGTCCTCTAATAATTCTGCTAACATGGTGCTTTTCTCCAGGACAGGCCTCGGTATGAAGATTTTCCTGCATTGAGGGCAGCTGTGAACTCCCTTCTGATCCTCTCCATCAAAGTGGGCTTTGATGCAGCTCATACAGTAGCTGTGTCCACAGGGAATAGTCACCGGATCCTTCAGGAGATCCAAACAGATCGAACAGCAGAATTTCTGTCGGTCCAGCTGATTTCCCTGCTGCGCCATTTCTCCTCTTCACAGTAACGTCTGAATATTTCCTGTTTCTCTGAGCATAAACAATCTCACCTGAACCAGGAAACAAGGGCTGTCAGCAGTGTCATGTTACAGCTTGCTGCTCACGCCCATCTGAAACATGTGACCGGAGTCCAAACAAACAGGGTGTGTTCTGCAGAGAAAAACACGTCATCTTACTGCTATAAAGAAAAAACCTGTTCTGTCTAGGCTGTGTTATCAGTGCAGGGTTACAACAGGCAGACTTCAGCTTCTCTTTACGGACTCCAGGTCCTTTTGCTTCTGTCTCTCCTTTAAGCCACACAATACCCCACTGGATCTACTGTGTTTAAGAGCAGGAGGTAGATCAGGATCATCAGACATTCCAGGAAGGGGAGAGGTTTAACTCCATTTACAAAATGTTTCATGACTTCTTTGAGTTTCTGCTCAGTGTGAAATCTGCATAATTTAAAATCAGATTAAGGAAAACAAGTCCTTAAATCTGTAGAGCATTAAGAAGATGGACTACTCCATGTATCTAGTTTTTTATTTTTTCATTATCTATTGTTTTCCTGGTTTTCATGTTCCTTATTAACATTATTTTTTATGCTTTTTTATGTTTAACTACTTCAACATACTTCAGCCTATTTAAACAAATAAGATATCAATTCATTGTGTTTATTTTGGAAATTGTATCTGTGTCTTTTTGTGTTGAAACCTTTTAAACTTTTGGAATTATTGAACTTTTTCTGACTTTTTGCCCTCATTGAAAATGAATTAAGGAGCCTTCAAATCCTTAAAAAAGATTGACCTATTTTAGCTTGAACTATTTCATCTTACTTTAAGGTAGAAACGCCATTCGACTTTTAAATGTTTCTCAGGGGTTTGGGCTATTACCAGTTGTCTTTTCTCTTCAAAATATCCAGCGGTCTTTGAAATATCACAATTTAAAAATCATTAAAATGTTAACAATGTCATTCCTATGGAGGCCCTTTAGAGTGGGAGATCAAAGGGGACATGTGACTCACTCTAGATTTTTCAGCCAGTTCCATTCTTCAAAATATCTTTAAACTCCTTCAGATTACTTCCACATCCTTCAAATTCCATATAGAAATGATACCTTAAAACGTAGGAAAAGGTGTCTTCTTTCAGCGAATGTAACTATCAAAGCCTTTAAGCTTTTAGATTTTGAGCTGTGACCTTCAGAGTCAGAGGTATCCTTCAACTTTTACCTGGAAACTTAATGTTAAAAGCTGACTGAAAACTATAAGAGACCAAAAAAGTATCATATTTTGAAATCGCTCCCATTGGCACATTACTGGCTCAATTTAAAAATGAAAGCCATCGACGCGATCCTTAATCTCTCCAGGCACTCACAGTATCAACATAATTTTCATGGCTCTAATAATTTTTGCTCAGGTGGTCAGAACCTGAAGGGAACTTTTGGCGGTTGAACCAGCACAGAGCAGAGCTGACCTGTCTCCATGACAACGAAAATGAATGCCTGTCAACGCCAGACGTACTTTTTCGTGAGTCAGACTGACTGAGAAATGTTTATATTAAATT